TTTGTTGAGATGAAGTTTTTTGAGATGAAGCTCTTGTTGCCCAGGCTGGAGTGGAATGGCACGATCTTAGCTCATTGCAACTTCAGCCCCCCAGGTTTAAAGCGATTCTCTTGCCTCAGCCTCCCGAGTAGCTGGGATTACAGGCATGGGCCACCATGCTTGGCTAATTTTGTATTTTTAGTAGAGATGGGGTTTCTCCATGTTGGTCAGGCTGGTCTTGAATTCCCGACCTTAGGTGATCCACCCGCCTTGGCCTCCCAAAGTGCTGGGATTATAGTGAGTCATTGCGTCCAGCCGGAAAAGTTTATCATCAGCCAATTCTGAAGACGAAAATCTCAAATGGTGAAAAGTATTTTTTTACCCATTCATTTCCCTATACTTCAACATGATTATCTTTGTTCTATTTGGGGGATGGATTTGTTCCAGGACTGCCTGTATATACACAAACCTGTGCATATGCAAGTCCTGAAGCTTGCCCTGAGGAACTGGCGTATACAAAAAGTCAGCCCTTCATACATATGCAGATTTTGCATCCCACAAATACCATATTTTAGTTCTCTGTGTGCTTTAAGAAAAAATCACATGTAAGTGGACCCACATAGTTCAAACCCATGTTGTTTGGGGGTCATCTGTAATTTCAAAGTTCTTTTTCTGTCTCCCATAAAACACTAGCTGATGGGGAGAAAGAAGATCAATTTAATGGAAGCCCTCCAAGACCGCAGCCAAGGGGACCAAGGACTCCTCCAGGACCCCCTCCACCTGATGACGATGAAGATGATCCTGTGCCTCTGCCAGGTATAAATAAAACCAGTGCTAAGGTTTTCCCTCCCAGTTAATAGTACGTTTTTGTTTTTGTTTTGAGACGGTCTCACTCTGTCGCTCAGGCTGGAGTGCAGTGGCTCACTGCAGTTTTGTTGTGATCATGGCTCACTGCACTCTTGACCAATCTGGCTTAAGTGATCCTTTCACCTCAGCCTCCTAAGTAGCTGGGACTACAGGTGTGCATCAACATGCCTGGCTAATTTTTTAAAATATCTGTAGAGATGGGGGTCTCACTATTTTGCCCAGGCTGGAACTCCTGAGCTAAAGGGATTTATCTGCCTCATCTTCATAAGGTGTTAGGATTATAGGCATAAGCCACCGCCCTGTCTGATAGTGCTTTTTGACTAAAGAAATTAGGTGCTAGTAATCAAATCTTGATGCATTCCCTCCCATGCTATGCAGTTTTTTTGTATTTTTTTTTTTTTTTAGGATGGGTTTTGCTCTGTGACCCAGGCTAGAGTGTAGTGGCTGGCACCATCCCACCTTACTGCAGCCTTGACCTCCCCGTTTCAAGAAAACTTCCCACCTCATCCTCCTCAGTAGCTAGGACTACAGGTGTATGCCGCCACGCCTGATTAATTTTTTTAGTTTTTATAGAGAAGGAATTTCCTATGTTGCCCAGGCTGGTCTTGAACTCAAGTGATCCTCCCACCTTGGCCTCCCACAGTGCTGGGATTTATAGGCTCGACCCACAGTGCCTGGCCGCTTCTTGTGTTTTTCTTTTTGTTGGCAAGTGAACTTGTTAAAAAAAAGAAAGTTAATTCATTTGAAGCTGTGTCAAAATAAAGTGTTAGTTTGCTGTAGTGATGTGTATAAAAGAGTCCCAATTAAAAATCAGCAGTATTGGGCTGGATGTGGTGGCTCATGCCTGTAATCCTAGCACTCTGGGAGCCTGAGGCAGGAGAATCTCTTGAACCAAGGAGTTTGAGACCAGCCTGGGCAACATAGGGAGACCCTGTTCTCTATTAAAAAATAATAATAATAAAATAAAAATAAGTAGTTTGTATTGGAAAAGATAAAAATCTGTATAGTAACGTAAAAGCTAAGAAGAAAAGTTATGTCTTAATAGTATACTTTATTATTTCGCACTGTAGAATTTGTACCATGTATAGTCAGTTATTTTTGTTTTCTTTTTTTTTTGGAGATGGCATCTTGCTCTGTCACCAGTTGGGAGTGCAGTGGTCCAATCTTGGCTCACTGCAACCTTCACCTCCCAGGTTCAAGCGATTCTCCTGCCTCAGCCTCCTGAGTAGCTGGGATTACAGGTGCGCGCCACCACAGCTAATTTTTTGTATTTTTAGTAGAGACAGGGTTTCACCATGTTGGTCAGGCTGGTCTCGAACTCCTGACCTCAAGTGATCCGCCTACCTCAGCCTCCCAAAGTGCTGGGATTACAGGCATGAGCCACCACACCCAGCGTATACTCAATATTTATTTTTAAAAGCAAGTAATTCCACTACCTTTTTAAAAGGGTGTTTATGAGCTACGTCATCCAAAATATCATTAAGTAGTTGCCATATCCAGTCTTGCTGCCTTGTATCATTTAAACCGTTAAAATAATCTGTGCCTTAAATCTCAATTTTTTCAGTGTCTGGTGACAAGGAAGAGGATGCTCCTCATAGAGAAGATTACTTTGAGCCCATTTCTCCTGATCGGAATTCTGTTCCCCAGGAAGGTCAGTATTCTGATGAAGGAGAAGTAGAAGAGGAACAGCAAGAAGAAGGAGAAGATGATGAAGATGATGTGGATGTAGAAGAAGAAGAAGATGAGGATGAGGATGATAGACATACAGTAGACAGTATCCCTGAGGAGGAAGAGGAAGATGAAGAGGAGGAAGGTGAAGAGGATGAAGAAGGTGAAGGTGGGTTATGTTAGCTAGGATTTTTGTGTTTAAATACTAGAAACTAACTCGATGTAGCTTTGAACAATGCAAAAGAATTTCTAGCAAAGATAAATGGGTCACAAGAAACCCACTGGTCAGAATGTAGGTAGGCCTCAAGGCATAACTAGAAATGAGATTTCCGTCTCGTCTCTGCTTTGTGTGTCTGCTTTAATTGTCTCTGTTTAACCAACCATCCTAAACTGCCTGACTGTATCTCAGTTTTCTGTTTGACTTGCTACAATGTGCGTTTCCCCTTGACAGCATCAGCTTTCACCAGGAAAACAGGGTCATATAGCAAATACATGTTGGTTAGGGATTGGTGGGCTGTTTTCAGAGTAAGGAGTGGTAAAGCTGGGTGGAATTCCTAAAGATGCCTGCCATCTAGATATTTTAGCAAATGCTACATTATTTTTAGAAATTCAAGGGAAAAATCTCAATTACAAAGGTACATGTGGTAGTATGATACAGTCCTTTAATTAGGGTTTTTTTTTTTTTTTTTCTTTTTTCTTTTTTTGGGGTTTATTTTCCTTTTGAAAGCAGAATGTGAGAGACACTCAAGCTGATTGGCTCTTAATTTGCCCAAGAAATGGCTTATAATGTTAAAGCATTTATGAAAAACAACAGATAATCTGCCTTTACTTTTTTCTACAGATAGTGAAAATGAGTCATTTGAGAATCACAGCGACTCTTTTACAAAATAACAAATAGCTAGATTATCATATGATACTTTTTTTTAGCTTCCCCCATGCCCAGATTACCAAATAATTCTTTTTAGATTTATCGTATTTAACTGGCAAAAGTAGTTAAATTTTAGGCAGGCAGCTTTCTTTTTCTTTTTTCTTTTTTTTTTTTTGAGACGAAGTCTCATTCTGTCACCCAGACTGGAGTGCAGCGGTGCGGTTCTTGGTTCACTGCAACCTCCACCTCCAGAGTTCAAGTGATTCTCCTCCGTCAGCCTCCTAGGTAGCTGGGTTTACAGGCACCCGCCACCATGCCTGGCTGATTTTTGTATTTTTGGTAGAAATCGGGGTTTCACCATGTTGGCCAGGCTAGCCTCAGACTCCTGGACCTTGACTTCAAGTGATCCACCCTCCTTGGCCTCCAAAAGTGCCGGGATTACAGGCATGAGCCACCATGCCCAGCCATATTTTAAATGAACAAATTTTCCATCAAAATACAATAGAGACCTACAAAACTGTGTGATAGGTAAATACAGAGAAATAAAAATTCAGGAATGTGAAATTAATGTTATAAAAAGAATCTATAATGGTTTTGCTGAAAATATTTGGTTTAACCTTATAATTATGATATTACTTCTTATTTAACTTTAATATAACCAGTTTTTTTTTTAACATCTTAAAAATAATCTCTCAAGAGGACAAGCTTAATTTCTTTCCTCCTGAGACAAATATTTTTGTTAATTTGAGGTATTTCTGATTTACAGAGTTAGTTACAAAGTAGCTGCATGTTACTTCTGTTAGTTGTAAAACTGAACAGATACAGAGGAATTTGCTTAAAATGTTTGTCCATTTTTCAGGTTTCATACAGGAAAAAAAGAAGTTTGTCCATAATTATTCTGTTAGAAAGTATAAAATGTTGTAAAATTGTGGATAATGTGTCGGGGCAAAAGTTGATTTTGTTGAGGAAATATTGTTGAGGAAAATTTTGTTAATGTTTTATTAAACAATTTTTTGATCAGTCAGAATGTATGCATTAGACAAGATGATGTAATACTTAAATATTATTCATACTAATTTTCAGGGGATGATGGTTATGAACAAATTTCCAGTGATGAAGATGGAATTGCTGACTTGGAACGTGAAACATTTAAGTATCCAAACTTTGATGTTGAATATACTGCTGAAGACTTAGCTTCAGTTCCTCCTATGACGTATGATCCATATGACAGGGAGCTTGTACCACTGTTATACTTCAGCTGTCCGTACAAGACTACTTTTGAAATTGAAATCAGTAGAATGAAGGATCAAGGTCCAGATAAAGAAAATTCAGGAGCAATCGAAGCCTCAGTGAAGTTAACAGAACTCTTAGATTTGTATAGAGAAGATAGAGGTGCAAAATGGGTAACAGCTTTAGAAGAAATTCCAAGTTTAATAATAAAAGGGTTAAGCTACTTACAATTAAAAAACACAAAACAAGACTCCCTCGGCCAGTTGGTAGACTGGACCATGCAAGCTTTAAATTTACAAGTAGCACTTCGCCAGCCTATCGCCTTAAATGTCCGACAGCTCAAAGCTGGGACCAAATTAGTGTCCTCACTAGCAGAATGTGGGGCTCAAGGAATTACGGGACTGCTACAAGCAGGAGTGATCAATGGATTATTTGAGCTTCTGTTTGCTGATCATGTATCATCTTCTCTTAAGTTAAATGCTTTTAAAGCTTTGGACAGTGTCATTAGTATGACAGAAGGAATGGAAGCTTTTTTAAGAGGTAGGCAGAATGAAAAAAGTGGTTATCAAAAGCTTCTGGAACTCATACTTTTAGATCAGACTGTGAGGGTTGTTACTGCTGGTTCAGCTATTCTCCAAAAATGCCATTTCTATGAAATCTTGTCAGAGATTAAAAGACTTGGTGACCATTTAGCAGAGAAGACTTCATCTGTTCCTAACCACACTGAACCTGATCATGACACAGATGCTGGACTTGAGAGAACAAACCCAGAATATGAAAATGAGGTGGAACCTTCTATGGATATGGATCTTTTGGAATCTTCAAATATAAGTGAAGGGGAAATAGAAAGGCTTATTAACCTCCTAGAAGAAGTTTTCCATTTAATGGAAACTGCACCTCATACAATGATCCAACCTCCTGTTAAGTCTTTCCCAACGATGGCACGAATTACTGGACCTCCAGAGAGGGATGATCCATACCCTGTTCTTTTTAGGTAAGACATGTTTGTCTTTTGGGAAATAAATTTCACAAATCATTGGAGGCAATTTTATGTGATTGATTTTGCTTTTTATCTGATTGTAGGTAACTCATTTATGTGTAAGGATGCTTGATATTTCAAAAACAGTCATTCAGTACTGGAACTGAGAAATATGTTATTGTGGGTGAGCTTATATTATGTTAGCTCTTAAAGCAAAATCGGGAACTTTGGTAACAGATTGTCATAATTAACAATGATGTTTGGCCGGGCGCGGTGTCTCAAGCCTGTAATCCCAGCACTTTGGGAGGCCGAGGCGGGTGGATCACGAGGTCAAGAGATCGAGACCATCCTGGTCAACATGGTGAAACCCCGTCTCTACTAAAACTACAAAAAATTAGCTGGGCATGGTGGCACGTGCCTGTAATCCCAGCTACTCAGGAGGCTGAGGCAGGAGAATTGTCTGAACCCAGGAGGCGGAGATTGCGGTGAGCTGAGATCGCGCCACTGCACTCCAGCCTGGGTAACAAGAGCGAAACTCCGTCTAAAAAAAAAAAAAAAAAAAAAAACAATGATGTTTGTATAAGCATATGAGCAAGAATAAATGAGAAACTGCTAACTTGCTTCTGGGAAGGTGGTACAAAGGGATGGTGTAGGAAGGAGAGCTTTTCTGTGTAAATCTGTCTGTCGTATTACTCTTAATAAATTGTAAGTTAAAATTATATTTTACTAACTTAATTTTACAGTCCTGGTTAAAGGCGTCTTTAAGGTTCCATTACTCTCTGCCACCCACCTCTCTTATTATCTGTTTATACGGTTTTGCCATTGTTAGGACTAGCATCCATAGTAGATTTTTAATTTTGTTTTGAGACTTTCTTTTTTGGCATTTGCCTGTGAATAATTTCCTAACATAAAAATGGAAAAATGGCATTTTAATTATTTTATTACTTATTTTTGTGATTAATATTTTCATTGATTTGGAGCATAGTGCATTACCAGGAGTTGGGATATGTGTCCACTCTAACACCTCCACTTACCTTACCCAAGTTCCTGTTTTTAGCTGAAACTATCAGACCTTGTCTTAGTTTGAGTTCCCTAAAAGGATAACTTGAGTCAAAGTCTTGGGTGCAGTTTCTTGGTTTGAAAGATTATCCTAGGAAGCAGAAATGCATGCAGAGAGTAAGATAAGAAGAGGAGAAAAGCCAGTAAAGGAAGTGTTATTAGACTTACTATTGCTGTGGACAGCTGGGGCTCATCATACTGGAGACCCTCTGAAGAACTGGTTAAAGTATGTCTCCTGCTTATCTCCCTAAAACATCCAGGCTGGGACATTTGTCTACCAACTGTCCCCTTTGGTTCAAGGATGTCCACAAGAATTAACTTTTTTATCTTCTGAGCTATTCCTGCTGTGGTCTGAACACCCTTTAATGGCTTTGTGGGGAACCCTGAGAAAGAAAGGTAGGGAGGTCCTAAGTGAACACTTGAGGCCAGATACTGGCAACCCACACAAATTGTGTACTGGGAAATCAATGGGTTAGTGATGGAAGGTTAGGGAGCAGTAAAATGTAAGAGACGAGCAGAGTATACATTTAGGCAGGATAATTAGAAGGAGTACAAAGACAAAATGAGAAGCAGGAAAGTAGAAACCAAGGAAGAAAATAGTGTTAGGAAGCAGTGAATCGTTTGTTTTGATACTGTGCAGACATTCAGAAGATAAGGACAGGAAATCATGTATTTTGCTACATAGATTGCAACTGGGGCTCTGGCAAAAGTAGTTTAATGTAGCAGTGGGAGAGGAAGTGTGGGTGATAAGTCACTGGCCAATGAGGATTTGGAACAGTGTAGGCTAATTTTCAAAAAAATTTGGGTGGATCACCAGAGGTCAGGAGTTTGAGATCAGCCTGGCCAACATGGCATAACCCATCTCTACTAAAAATACAAAAACTAGAGCTGGGTATGGTGGCTCACACCTGCAATCCCAGTACTTTGGAAGGCTGAGGTGGGCGGATCACTTGAGGTCAGGAGTTCGAGGCCAACATGGCGAAACCCAGTCTCTACTTAAAATACAAGAATTAGCTGGGCATGGTGGTGGGCGCCTGTAGTCCCAGCTACTTGGGAGGGAGACTGAGGCAGGAGAATCGTTTGAACCTGGGAGGTTGGAGATTACAGTGAGCTGAGATCAGGCCATTGCACTCCAGCCTGGGTGACAGAGTGAGACTCCGCCTCAAAACAAAAACAAAAAAAGAAAACAAAAACTAGCCAGGTGTGGTGGCATGCGTCTGTAATCCCAGCTACTGGAGAGGCTGAGGCAGGAGAATTACCCAGGAGGAAGTAAGAGGTTGCAGTGAGCCAAGTTAGTTTCACTGCACTCTTGCCTGGACAACAAGAGGGAAACTCTGTCTCAAAAAAAAAAAAGAAAGAAAGAAAGAAAGAAATTTGGCTAGCCTGGGCAACATAGGGAGACCTCATCTCTTTTAAAATTTTAAAATAAAAAATTAAAAAAAAATTAGATGGTGGTGTGTGCCTGTGGTCCCAGATGCTCAGGAGGCTGAGGTGAGAGGATTGCTTGAGCCCAAGAGATTAAGGGTGCAGTGAGCTGTGATTGTGCCACTGCACTCCAGTCTGGGTAGCAGAGTGAGACCGTGTCTCAAAACAAGAAATTTGGCTAAGAGAAAAAGTAAGAAACAAGACAGCAGTTAGAAGGAGATGTTGGAGTCAAAGAGAAAGGCTTTTATTTTTCACGAGTAGAAGAGGCTTGAGCACATATGTAGGCTTGGAAAAATGACTCATTTACAAAGTCACTGGAGAGGGAGATGTTTATAATGTAGAAGTAAACCTTAATTGCTGGAGCAAGGCTTGGTGGGAGATGAGAACAAGAGTACAAGTGTAGGAGTTTGGTTTTGGGCAGGAGAAAGGAAATCGTCTAAGTATACAACATAGATACATTTGTAATCTTGGAGATTGTAAAGGAATTGGGGTACTTCTTATTAGTAACCTTATTTTTAGTTGAATAGGTGATGCTTTCAGTCACTGAGAGGAAGTTAGTAATTAAATACTTACTAGGTATTTTTTTCCCCACCTTATGGAGGAGGTACATTTGAGTATCAGATGAGGAAATAAAGGGCCCAGAATGGTTGCAGTAAGGAATTTGGATTTTATTTTTAGAATATGGAAAGATATTGAATATTTTGGAGTAGCAGATCTGATATGATTAGAGTAATATTCTCAGGTTTTATGTTGCAAGATATATTGCAGTGGAAAAGAAATTAGAGTTATTAGGAAGATAAGATAGTCTGAGATTTCTAGGTATTAGGTTTTAAGTACTTGGCCCTTAGCAGGTAATGGAAAGACAAATACTGTGCTTATATAGAGAGAGATTGTGAAGTAGCCATTATATATTAGTACTAGGACTTGGCAGCAGGACCTAGTAGGTGAAGGAAAGTGAGAAGGAGCTAGAGATTTCTAGCCAGGGTAGCAATTGGAACTGTGGTTTTATTGACAGAAACTGATAAATTAGGAAGGAGAGAAAATTTTGATAGGAAAAATAATTGTACTTTGGAGGGTTTCTTTTGAAGTGGTGCCAAGGCTCTATTGTCCTACGTCAAGGTCCCCAAGAGCACCAAGATTCCCTAGGAGGACTCACAAAACTCAGCATACAGTTATACTCAGCAAAGGAAAACGGTACATAGGAAGAAGTCTGGGGAAACCAATTGCAAGCTTCCAGAATCCTAATTCTCACAGCAACAGGTTGTGACAATATGTGTGAAGTCTTTCCTGTTGAGGAAGCTCTTTAGAAACTTGGCACCCAGGCCTTTTCATTTTATTTTTTGTTTTATTTATTTTATTATTATTGTTATTTTTGAGACAGAGTCTTGCTCTGTTGCCCAGGCTGGAGTACAGTGGCTTGATCTCGGCTCACTGCAACCTCTGCCTTCCGGGTTCAAGAGATTCTCCTGCCTCAGCCTCCTGAGTAGCTGGGACTACAGGCATGTGCCACCATGCTATTTTTTGTATTTTTAGTGAGATGGGGTTTCACCATGTTAGTCAGGTTGGTCTCATTCTCCTGACCTTGTGATCCACCTACCTTGGCCTCCCAAAGTGCTGGGATTACAGGCTTGAGCCACTGCGCCCAGCCTAGTGCCTAGTTTTTATTTTTAAGTAGTAGCAATGTGATGTTTTGATACATGTATACATTGTGGAATAATTATATCAAGCTAATTGGCATGCAGTTTTTTTTATTGTGGGTAGCCATGTAGGCACTCACTGCCTATCTTATAACCAGAATTCCAGACTCCTAGAAGGAAAGCATGTATTCAGCATAATCGTATTGTTTGCACAAAAAATTAGGCACAAGGAACCATTCTTATCGGTTACAGGCACAGGAACCCTCTCAAAATCTAATCTAAGTTCCCAGAAGTTAGCCAGTGGCCAGCCTTGCAAGCCGGCCTCTAAGGATGTGTAGTCTGAGGCCTGCTATTTTAGCCATTCTCCGAATGGTTCATAAGGAGGATGCTCTCAAAACACAGTAATTCTGGAATTTTGTCTTCCTGAGTGTTCTGTTTGCCTTTGTAGTAAGCAGTTACTGGTAGGCATTTTTTATGGTGAAGTAGATGCCTGGATTTAAATAGTAATAGGACTGAAGAGGTGGTTTCAGCTTTTGACAAAATTAAGTTCTGGCCTCTCATTTACTTTTTAGTAGTATTTTGATAGGGGTTTATGAAAGCTGTTGTGTTACCATTTGCAGTGACTAAAATGGAAGAGAATGAATCAGAATTATAAATAATTTTTATTCTTTTTAACATTCAAAAAATATTACTAGTTAAAAATTAAGAAATTATCATTAAACTGGTTCTATCTTGTAATCAAGAGATGTTTTTGACAGACTTTTTCCACATTTTTTAATATTTGAAAAAATACAATGTTTTAGTTCTTTTTTCTTTAAAATCCAGTTGTTTCATTTTTAAAAAGTTGAGAAATGAGATCATGTTCTTTTCAGGGACATAGATGAAGCTATAAGCTATTATCCTCAGCAAACTAACTCAGGAACAGAAAACCAAATACTGCATGTTCTCACGAGTGGGAGCTGAACAATGAGAACACATGGACACAGAGAGGGGAACAACACACACTGGGGCCTGTGGCGGGAGGACAGGGGTTTGGGGGAGAACATCAGGAAAAATAGCTAATACATGCTGGGCATAATACCTAGGTGATGGGTTGATAGTTGCAGCAAAACCACCATGGTACACGTTTACCTATGTAACAAACCTGCACATCTTGCACATGTACTCCAGAACTAAAAATAAAAATTTAAAAAAAAAAAAAAAAGGGAAAAAGGTGATTTTGGAAAAGAGTTTAGGGAAGATGAGGCAAAAGGACACTTGAGTCCAGAGAATCGCTTAAGGCCAAGAGTTTGAGTCTAGCCTGGGCAACGTAGCTAGAACCCGTAAAAAAATTAAAGAGTTTACATTTGGCATGGCCTATAGGTAAGGAAGGAAATCCATATAGATAAGGAAATTGATGCCCAAAGAAGTTGTCAGTAGCATTTGTGTCTATTTTGAAATGTTAAGTAAATTTGGTCTTTTCCCTGTTAAGACTATGTATATTAAGGGATAATTCTTAGATTTGATTAAAGAGTGCTATGTGTGGTAATATTAACTGTTTAAATGCTAAAAATTGATAATTTGAAAGTTTTTTTTTTTTCTAGAGATACAAATTCAGATCTACTGTAGTAAATCTGAGTATACTATATTTTTCTATAGTACAGCATCCCTCAGTGTCTTTGAGACTGGTTCTCAGACCTCCCTTGGTTACCAAAATCCAAGGATGTTCCAGTCTCTGATATAAAATATAAAATGTATAAAATGTAGTATTTGCATATAACCTGTGCATATCCTCTTGTATACTTGGAAGTCATCTGTAGATTACTTAAAATACATAGTACAATATAAATGTTCTGTAAATAGTTGTTATACTATTATTGTATAGGGAATGATGTAAGAAAAAGTCTGTACGTGTTCACCACAGATACATTTTTTCTTTTCTTTTTTTTTGTTTTTGGAGACAGACTGTTGCTCTGTCACCTAGCCCAGGGTGGAGTGCAGTGGCATGATCTTGGCTTTCTGCAGCCTCAATCTCCTAGTCATAAGTGATCCTCCCACCTCAGCCTCCCAAGTAGCTGGGACTACAGGCATGGGCTTCCACGGCCAGCTAATTAAAAAAAGTTTTTTTGGTGGAGACAGGATCTCATTATGTTGCTCAGGCTCGTGTGAAATTTCTGGGCTCAAGTGATC